TACTGTAACAATGATGAGACGTAATGTACGGCAGTGCAGAAGTAGTTCATGATAAAGTACTGTAACAATGATGAGAGGTAATGTATGGTAGTGCAGTGGTAGTTCATGATAAAGTACTGTAACAATGATGAGACGTAATGTACGGCAGTGCAGTGGTAGTTCATGATGAAGTACTGCAACAATGATGAGACGTAATGTATGGCATTGCAGTGGTAGTCCATGATAAAGTACTGTAACAATGATGAGACGTAATGTATGGCAGTGCAGTGGTAGTTCATAATAAAGTACTGCAACAATGATGAGACGTAATGTATGGCATTGCAGTGGTAGTTCATGATAAAGTACTGCAACAATGATGAGAGGTAATGTAAGGTAGTGCAGTAGTAGTCAATGACAAAGTACTGTAACAATCATAGTCCGTGATGAAGTACCAAGTAACAATGATTGTTTCATTTAGTAGTCACTTGTTAGTACAACAACTAAGTTGACTGCCATTTCTTTGGTAAAGCTCGCAAGATACAGCAAAATTCGGTACTCTAACCTTGGGCAAAGAATTGTTCAAGTCTTCTTACAAAGCAATAGTTTTATTAGAAATTGGCAAATTGCAGTGCATATTTATGTGAATTTCTGACTAATTTAGATATAGCGGCTGCTCAAGAATGTGAGTAATCTATTTCTGCTGTGGTCTCACAGTAAAAACCATCCACGCATTAACCGCAGTCTGTTAAACACGACACCCTGGATTCGTGGTAGCTAGCTTTTAACCTTTAATTCTCCTTCATCGTTGCTTTCTCTGAACNCTCTCTCTTCTCATCCCTTCCCTCCTCCTCACCCTGTCTCTCTCCCTCTCTTCTCATCCCTTACCTTCTCCTTATCCTATCTCTCTCGCTCTCCCCTATCTCTCTCCCTCTCATCCCTTCCCTTCTCCTCATCCTGTCTCTCACCCTCTCCCTTATCTCTCTCCCACTCTTCCCATCCCTTTCCTTCTCATCCTGTCTCTCCCTTCTTCTCATCCCTTACCTTCTCCTCATCCTATCTCTCTCGCTCTCCCCTATATTTCTTCCTCTCTTCTCATCCCTTCCCTCCTCCTCATCCTATCTCTCTCCCTCTCTTCCCATCCCTTTCCTTCTCATCCTGTCTCTCACCCTCTCCCCTATCTCTCCCACTCTCTTCTCATGATCTCATCCCTTCCCTTCTCACAGCCTTTCTCTCTCCCTCTCCCCATATCTCTCGTCCTCTCTTCTCATCCCTTACCCTTCTCCTTATCCCTATGCCTCTCCCTCTCCCCTATCTCTCTTCCCATTCCTTTCCTTCTCATCCTGTCTCTCTCCCTCTCTTCCCATCCTTTCCTTCTTCATCCTGTCTCCTCCTCCTGTCCATCCCTTCCTTTCTCTCCTGTCTCTCACCCTCATCCCCTATCTCTCATCTCTCTCTTCCATCCTTTCCTTCTCATCCGTGTCCTCTCACGCCTCTCCCCTATCTGCTCCCTCTCTTCCCATCCCTTTCCTTCTCAATCCTGCTCTCTCGGCTCTCCTCTATCTCTCTCCCTTCTTCTTATTCCTTACCTTCTCCTCATCCTATCTCTCTCGCTCTCCCCTATCTTTCTTCCTCTCTTCTCATCACTTCTCTTCTCCTCATCCTATCTCTCTCCCTCTCTTCCCATCCCTTTCCTTCTCATCCTGTCTCTCACCCTCTCCCCTATCTCTCTCCCTCTCTTCTCATCCCTTCCCTTCTCAACAGCCTTTCTCTCCCCCTCTCCCTCTCTTCTCATCCCTTCCCTTCTCAGCAGCCTTTCTCTCTTCTCATCCCTTCCCTTCTCAACAGCCTTTCTCTCTCCCTCTCCCTCTCTTCTCATCCCTTCCCTCCTCATCCTGTCTCTCACCCTCTCCCTTATCTCTCTTCCTCTCTTCTCATCCATTTCCTTCTCCTCATCATGTGTCTCTCCCTCTCCACATATCTTTCTTCCTCTTTTCTCATCCCTTCCGTCATCCTTATCCTTTCTCTATCTATCGTGTTAGCTCACCAGGTTCTTCTCATCCCTTTACTTCTCCTCGTCATGTCTATCTCCTTCTCCACATATCTGTCTTCCTCTATTTTCATCCCTTCCGTTCCCCTCATCCTTTCTCTATCTATCGCGTTACTAGCTCACCAAGTTCTTCTCATCCTGGAAGGCGTAGTGCAGCTCCGTGATCCAGCGGCGGTCTCCATACACGAGCACGTCTCTCTCCTCCTTGAAGCACGCCGTCTGCAAACGCAAAACACACCAACGTATTTTAATTAGCCAGCGAGCCATGCAGCCATGATTTGCACGGTCGGTTTTGAAACTTTAAATTTCCAGGGGAGGACCCTTTCTCATACCCCCCCCCCCACGACGCCCGCTACGGCGGTCTTGGCTGAGACACACACAAAAATTGCACTCCCAAATATTTTTCCTGCACTCCCACAATACTCATTCCTGGCTAATACCCTGAAACACACGCCGCGACGTCAAAACATGCGATCCTCGAACGTCTTACAACAGAGATCGATGGCTTCGCGTGCAGACAGACGGACAGACGGACGGTGTCTCGAGGGCGGCCCGCCTCCGCAGCCACCCGGTGACCCGCATCATGAGACATCGTAGGTTATTGCCTGCCGGGTCACTCGTGGGGGGGGGAGTACATCGAATTACGGACGCACGCACGCAAAAACGCGCACGATTCCCTAGGTGGCGCGCTGCGCGATTCATTATTAATCGTCAAATCGCTCTCGCACGACGCCGGGTCCCACGTACACGAGGGCGCCACACATGCTGCTACAGGTACGCCCCCTACTGTCAACCCCGCCGGCTGCAACTGTAAGGGGGGGAGGTGACTGACCAGAGAGAGGGCGCCGCGATCGCCCCGTGTAACGAGCTGTGCGGCCTCGCGTCGGGGCGGCGGGGGGGTCTGAGTTTTTGCAACACCAAACGCGGCCAAGCGTTTCCGAGCTTCCTTTCACGCGAGCGCGCACACCTCGCATCGCCACGTATTGATTCCTCGCGCCGCGGCTGCAAGCGGGAAGCAGGAAGCCACGCGCCGGCCATCTCCATCGCACGACAGCATCCGACAGTTCAGCGGAGCGTTGACCCCCGCCTCCTCGCGCCGCAACAAAACGAAGCCATCTTCGATCGCTTTTCCGTCTCTCCGCGCGCGAGCGCATCTCCTATTGCACTGTTTGCTGATGGAGGACCGAGGGATTACGCCGTGTTGCAGGCATAATTGCAGCAGGCTAGTGTAAGCCATACAGGCAAAAATCCCAATGCTGCCTCCGCAGCAAAGCCAAGCAGATTCTCCTCGTTCTGGACAAACAGACGGACAGACAGAAAGACAGACAGACAGGCAGAGAGACAGACAGAGAGACAGAGAAGCAGACAGACAGACAGACAGACAGAGAGACAGACACACAGACAGACGGACAGACAGACGGACAGACAGACAGACAGACGGACTGACAGACAGACAGGCAAGCAAGCAAGCAGAGGACAGACAGGTAGGTGGGCAAGGTAGGCAGACAGGCAGTCAGGAAGTTAGAAGTGTCGTTCAATCCCACAGGTACGTGCGCACAAGCAGCGACTCGCGCTAATTATCTCTCGCCCGTTACCTGGCAACGCACACTGCGAGTCGCTGCGCCCGACCATTGTCTCGCCCGCTCTGATTGCTTGCTTTTCATACTCAAGCACGCCCACCACAATCTCGCGTGATTATATCAAAACATGTAATCACGGCACCACGTCCGACTCCGCGGCGCATGCCACAACACGCTATCCACTTAACACGCTACCAAACTCTTCGGTGCAAGATAATTTAAGACGTGGCAACGCGGGGTGCAATGTAATTGATAGTGGATTGCAGAACGATGCTGCAGCGGCATCGGACCAGCCGCCAGCCCCCCCGGAAACTTTTTCAGGCGCTTTTTGCGCGCCGACACCACTTTATACTTAACTAAAAACAACTGCGGGTCATTAATTATGATCGGATTAATACTAAATAGGGTGCGGGGGAAGGTTCGGCGCGTGGAAGCTGTAGCAGCAGATGCATCCCCGCAGCTACGAGTTGTAGAGACGGTACAATGATTTCTCGTCATCAGGGTCGAGCTTAGCGCCAGGAAAACAGTCAATACATCGAGAGATATGGCCTATATGTGTATTGACGGTAGGCTCACTGCCTGTTACTAGTGCTACTGGTACTGGTTGGTACTGGTACTGGTTGGTACTGGTGCTAGGTAGAGAACTTAGCCCGTCAGCGACAGCGACAGCAGCAGCAGCAGCAGCAGCAGCAACATCATCTGGATTTAGGGCTGACAATGGGAATACAGGCACGATTGATTCCTCCACTGCAACATTACTGGGGCTTCATCATAAAATAGCCTTGTAAAGGCAAGCCCAAACCGCCAGCGACCCGACCCGACCCGACCCGACCTGACTTGACCTGACCCGACCCGACTTGACCTGACCTGAAATGAGCTGCATCGCATCGTCTGCATCTATTCACACACATCTTATTGCTAGCATTCCATTCTCTAATCACCGTCACCATCCCATAAATCATGTCATCATCCAATCATCGTCAGTATCTCATCATCGTCAACATCCCATCATCGTCAGTATCTCATCATCGTCAGTATCTCATCATTGTCATCATCCCATCATCATCAGCATCCCATCATCGTCATGAACCCATCATCGTCAGTATCCCATCATCGTCAGCATCCCATCATCGTCATGAACCCATCATCGTCAGTATCCCATCATCGTCAGCATCCCATCATCGTCAGCATCCCATCATCGTCAGCATCCCATCATCGTCAGTATCTCGTCATCCTATCATCATCAGCATCCAATTATCGTCAACATCCCATCATCCCATCATTATCAGCATTCCATCATCATCATCGTCCCATCATCGTCATCATCCCATCATCCCATCATCATCAGCATTCCATCATCGTCATCATCCCATCAGCATCAGCATTCTTTCATCGTTGTCAGCATCGTCAGCATCCCGTCACTACTAGCCTTTCGTCCTCAGCATCTCTTGCCAATGTTTACCCAATACAACCAGAGGATAACAGTGAAACGAACGCAAACAAATAGAGCAATGGGGGGATGGCCGCCGACAACCCAGTAGATCGTCTGCTAGTGCGTAGGAGGGCCATCTGGGACCTCCTCTGCTTACATCACAGCTGTTACCAGCAGCAGCAGCAGTGACGGCAGCAGCAGCAGCAGTAACATCTGCATCAGCAGCAACTCCAGCAGCATCCGCAGCAACAGCAGCATCCACAGCAACAGCAACATCCGCAGCAACAGTAGCATCCGCAGCAACAACAGAAGCAACACCCACAGTAGCTCTAATACTATAGTCACAGCAGCAACAGCATCAGCAGCAGCAACAGTAGCATCCGCAGCAACAGTAGCATCCGCATCAGCAGCAGCTGCAGTAGCATCCGCAGCAACATCCGCAGCAGCAGCAGCAGTAGCAGCTGCAGTAGCAACTGGAGCACCAGTAGCACGTGTTCGAAACTCCTCACGGGGAAGTAACGTGTATTGTTTTAACACTAGGAACGCTAATGTTATCACTGCTTGATACATGATGCGGCCCGCTCACCAATACACAGTCGCACATCCGATACACACGTATTATTATCCGATACACACGTATTATTATCCGATACACGCGTATTATTATCCGATACACACGAGGAACGCTAATGTTATCATGTTATCGTTGCTGTTTCTTTGCTGCTACTAAGTAACTAACTAATAATGACTTCCCAGCTAGGTCTGCGCAAGCACACATACAGTAACGTGGCTATCTCTCACACACACACGCACACGCACACGCACACGCACACGCACACGCACACGCACACGCACACGCACACG